TATAATAATTTCAAGGCACATGATACGACATTTTAAGTTCTATCTGAAATACACGCACCATTGAAGCAGCACCTCTTAATATCATGGAAAATCTTCTACCTAATGTGGTCACATGCAAGTCGATGCATTAGTGCACTGTTATTGTACTATTACTGCAGGTTAAATTACAATTCAGTAGATTTCTTTTGCACTTATGGTTTCAGTTCCACTTTGTTTTATTTTCCTGACCAACTAGTAGGTTAAGAAGTTTCCAGGATGGCGCTCAGAAGTATAAAGGTTGGGTACAACCAGAAGATTTAGTCTTTGTCTAAAGACCTCCCCAGTATTTAGGGACAATTTCACACATTTCTCAAAGCGCTCAGGTCACTTATATCTGGGGCATCATCTTTATCATGAAAGGGTAATCGCTGCAGCCCATGGCTGGATAGCCAGACCGACCGGTGTTTGAAGACACAGACTTCATAAAAGAAGTTCTCTCTCTACATTCTAGCCAAACTTGTCTGGAGTAGAATCATTACAGCCCCTGTAGTCTTCCTCTGGGAGGCTATAAAGATGTTTTCAAACGTCTACATTTCAAAAACGCAGAATCTATTGTCTTGATCCTTTATGTTACTTCGCTAACTCTCTACTCCATAAAACACAGCAGGGCAACGTGGCTGGGTCATCGTGAATGTCTTCTGATAGCTAAGGAGGAAAGCCTATTGTTACACTGGGATAATACAGAAGATGGGACGATTCAGAAACTGCCCCTTCTCCTGACTGCACAGTCCATAATGGTTTTTGAATATAAACACAGCTGTGCTACAGCTCTATCAGGATTACTCTTACTCCTAGAAGCCACAAAACAAGCCTTCCCATCTCTTCACTCTGCACTCAACTTCTACTGCTGCGCCTTAGAGCTGCACCTTGCCTGTTTTCAAACACTTAAGCACAATAACATTAAGTAGCAACTGAACAAATTTAACTCTGAAGTTGCTAGCATTCTGAATTTAAAATCAAACCTAAAAGGTATATAAATCTTTTTCTAATTTCCTTTATGTAAATTCAAGCCACACAGAGAAAACAATAATCTGTCATTCTGTTTGTTTTGGGGCTTTTTAAGTGGCATCACATTAAGTTATTTAAGCCCAGTAAAATTTAACGAGAGTTATTCTTGTTCTTGTAACTGTGTTCATTGCAGCAGATACTTCTAGAAGTGTGGTGAAGTCATTGTTCAATTTGTCCCCTGAGACATTCAGCTATGTAACGTGATATTTCTCTTCTTCTCTTCCAAACTTTATTATTGATGCAGAAGCATATTTACACCATAAAAGCAGAGCAGCTGGCTAGTGACCCTTGGGAACCCTTACTAACGAAGATTTTAGCCCCCTCCACTAGTTACTGCATTCAGGTTGATTTAGTGTGCTGAAAAACAACCCTATCTGAGAGCACGTTACCTTCTACTCTCGTTGTTTTCTAAAGCTCTACCTCCCTTGGGAGAGAAAGAAAGGCAATATAAAAATCTTCTGGGACAACCATGCAGTAGCTAATGCAACTGCTTGCCTTCAGTTTTGCACTTACAGTTGGAGAAAGAAAAAAAAATGGAAGTATAAAAACAAATTACAAAATTGTTTCCAGGATACCCACAAGAAGCCCTCTTACCTACAGGTTAGAAACATTCCGTAGTACCTATGATAAAGATTTTACTAGAACATTAACACCCAGTTTACACAACTATATAAACCTGAAGACACATTTATGCCTGTTGGTAGGCAGTAACACTACTTCTGACAAGTTACTTGCAATAGCAGGCAAAGTATCCTTGGTATCCTGGCAGAATGAGAATAAAAATTAAGGTTGTACGATATTAGCAAGATTTTCTTGCAGCAGTTCTGTGGCTGATTTTCTTGGCAAGAAGCTGCTGTTCATTAGCAACCTATCTCGGGGAGTGGAATCTTCTATTCTTTTCTCTTTTGCCTCATTGGCTCGCCGTGTTTTGTTTATTTATGTAAATAAAACTTCCCTCTATTCTCTACTAATTATGCAAATCTGCAGCCCATAGGACTCTTACCACATGTATAGCTCATTGCACAGTACAACAGCCATTGGGGAAAAACCCTTTTATTACATTTTCTTCACCTTTAAATGCAAATACCTATGTCACTTCTATCATTTCTTCATGATTCCTAGAAAACAAGAAAACCCCAAAACCTCACGCCCTCTTTTTTTCCCTTTAAGATTACTGTTTGTTTTTTCAGGTGGCAGAGCTGTTCTTCTCCTACTCTTCCTGCTCTATGTTTGATGCATACATATAGGAAAGGGAAGAAGTAGCACAAAACAGAGGCAGCAGAATGGTGGAACCCTTTTACCAACCTGGATAATGAAACTTCACACACATTATCTTAGTTTGTCCACTATTTAATACAGTCATTGGAAACAAGGCAAATGAAAAAAAAAATCCTGTCTTCTGAGACTGGCTATAGGGACTTTATCTTTGTGGTAACGTTGTTAAAAGTAAACTAATAACTGGCTGAGAACATTTCACCCCATACCCCTGGTGACGCAGGCTGAAAAACACCAGCACATTTAAATGATGCTTAAAAAGCAAGGCCTGAAGGTGGAAATGGGTTAATTTCTTGTTCCTATAATTATACGCTGAACAGTTTTAAACTGTTAGAAAGAAATGTATTAATTCTGAACAGAAATCAGTTTTCACTTTAATTAAGCTAGGTAACGGAAATTAACATTTCTCCTCTGTGGCATCTGGGCATTAAAACTGAGCTGTTTGACAACGATCCTTCCAGCAACTTTAGACACCAATGATGTAACCAGCACAAATCCCCTCCCCTGTAACACAACCAGGAAGTGCTGAGTATTTTCTTACTTATCAAACTGACCATCTTAACCCAACATTCCCACCAGCCAGCGAATCAACAGCCCCACACTCCTTTGGTTGGAGCAGCTGAAAACAAAACAAAACCACAATGAAATGTGCTTTCCATTTCCAGCCAAGATAAAATGGGACCCAGCAGTCCCACCCAAGGTGACTCGTTAAGCATTTCCTCGTCACTGCTGTTATTAATGGTGTGATGGCTGTTACAAACACAGCAGTGCTTCCTTGAGGCCTGTTCCAAACACAGCACAACCCGAATTGGCTTTGCTTTGAATTGGTCTCAAATTGGATGTGTTGAAGGGCAAATCATTAACACTGGATTTTGGTGTCTGTGTTACTCACGTGGTCTCGCACACCCAGAGCACGAGGTGCAAGGCAGCACCCAATGGCTATTTCCATGCAGATTGCTGCAAGGAAGAACAAGCACTGACCGCAGCTCCTCTCAGCGACCAGGAGAGTGCCTTCAGCATAGTGACTTCATGAGCACGGGAGGCAGTGGGTTTTCCTGCACTGGGCAGAAGAAAGAATGGACGGCAATGGGTGTTGTAAAGCTCACGAGCTGCTGAATGCTGGGAGGAGCAGGCAGCTCTGGAACACCTGGAAGGGACGGCAGAGGGTGCGCAGGGAATGCCTTGCAGTTGTGTGGGTCGAAACACCTGGAATGGGGAGGAGCAGCCCGCCTTGCACTGCCTGGGAGCGGAGAAACTTCGCCTATTTTTGGTGCTATGAAGTGACAGAGGGCGGTGAGGGAGGTGCCGTGCTGAATAACCCTCGGTAAAGCGACCTTGGAATTGATGCGATGATTTACTGTGCTCGCCTCTGTGACTCTGTCATAGAGACAGCAGCAAAAAAGAAAAAAAAGAAAAAAAAAAAAAAAGGAAATAAAGGAGCAGGAGCTGCCAGCCGTAACTTAAACACTCCTGTGCTCACCGAACGCACCCGAGCTCGGAAACTTCGCTGCGCTGCCAGCCTCGCGGGCTGCGTTCACCACACCGCAAAGAGCAGGAGGAGGGCTAATTCCTCCCTCCGGGCTCGCGGCGCTGTGTCACATACCTGCTCTTTTCTACCGCAAAAAAAAAAGAATAAAAAAAAAAGCATAGCTGCCGGGAACGAGCGCGCCGGAGCGGCCGCACCCCGGCCTTGCAGGGCGTGCCCGGCTTGCCCCGGAGCCGCCTGCACGGCGGCGCCGCACGCGCCTAGGGGGCGCCGCGAGCGCGGGGACGCGACATAACGGCCCGCCGGGCGCGCACGCGCGCGGCCGTTAGGGAGGCGCGTGGACGCGGGACAAAATCCCCCCGAGGCGCACGCGCACGGCCGTTAGAGATGCGCGTGGAAGCGGCGCGACGACCCGCCAAGCTTGCGCGCCCGCGGCTCTTTGCGCCCTCCCTGCCCCGCGCGCACTCCGACCAATCGGCATCCAGCGGAGGGAGGAGCGCGGCGATGTTTGCAGCGGCGGCCGC